TCGAATTGATTCCTTTCAGCTATTATATCGATTCAGTAAAATATAAATGTATAAAGGTTTCCAAAATTAATAAATTAATAATGCCTTCGCTGAACCCAACTCAATTTAAGTTATAAAAGTATGTCGTCTAAATATTGGCTGAAAATCTTAGAGACGAAATTCTTATTTTGTTTAAAATGTTTTGTCATAAATAAGAGAGACTTGAAGTCAATTATATAGAAGGGTTTTGTTACTGAGACTTTGGCGAAAATAATTGATGCTTTTTATGGAAAGTTTTGTGTATTACCTGGGACTTACCATATTTAATTATTTTAAAAATTACGTTTATTATTTCATTATTATTTTTTGAACAACATAAGTTCAGTATACACTTATTTTTTCTATTATTTGAACAAGAAAAACAAAAATACGCTCTCTGATCAATCACGGCAATTTTATTTCGTCCGGGACTAAACGATTTTAAATTAACTGATTTGAAATATATACTCTATCTATCAAAAACTATACTCCTATCTATTTAGATTTTAGATGGCCTTATATGAATACAAAAGCTACAAACGTTAAATATGTTGTTGCTTTAATTAATATATTAATATAACTTACAGTCTTTTCTCTGGATCCATAAGGATGCTGCAAAGAACTTTACGATGAAACTCGATGAATGTACCTGAAATTTTTCACTTTCACTTTATAATAAGTTTTAAATTAAACTTTATATAAAACTTTCTTATGTCTTTCATTATAAGGAAAAAATATAAAGCAAAGTAGATTCAACAAATTTTATAATTATGATATTAATTACATTATGTAGTAGATACATACACGTGATTTTCATAAAAAGAAAATATAATCTGAAAGCATAGCTTAACACGTAGACTATTGCGAAACCTACTATTTTTTAGCAATCTCTTTTCACAATTGATTTGCAACAAAGTTTTATTATATGAAATGGGACATGACATTTTTTAAATTAGTAGAGGAAAGGTAAAGTTTTCATTCATTATTGTACATAATTCATTAAATATAATAAATAAATACGTTAATTAAAATTACATTTAAAAACAATCCTTTTATTCCCAATGTTAATCCAGTGACTATATTTTTAAATTAAAATATCAAAAATTATGTATCAATCTCCATATACTGGTAAATATATTCTGTTTAATTATTGCAATATGTCTGAAGTCCTGTGAATTCACTATCATTGAAGTGATTTCGACATCAGAACGTGCGTTTTAATTTCATAATAAAATATTATACATGTACATATATTATATAGGAATATATTTGAAATCACCTATTATCAAGGGTTATAATCACCAATTATCACCTCTTAATTATCAATTGTTAAGGGTATTTATTGTATGTCTGTTGCAAACTTTACTTTATATATAATATGAATAATAACGATCTAATTTAACAATTTATTTACAATAAAGATTGTGGATTATAAATTTCAGTGGTCTGCTATTTGAGATTTTTATTTTACAAATAAATTGGTATTCTTCTAGAATTTGTTCGATTACAAGTTGACAAATAATGAATAATCAAAAAATTCAACACTTTAATTATTTCGACCTCGATAATGTTCGACCTCATTTGAATTAATTAGTTAACGTTCGAATCTACAAGCTCATTGTCTCCTCAAATATTTAAGAAATAAATCACTTAATTTATTCCGACTGGGAAAGAATAAATTATATTACAATTGTCTCTTTAGTAAAATAGGTTTTAAATGCAGGTGTTTATAGATTTGTATTTTAAAATTTGTACATATGTCTATTTCCTACTATTCTTTTATAACTTCATAAGAAAAACTGATTGTAATTAACTGTCTTTAAACTGAATAGGTGTTTTGTTTTAGTTCATAAATATTTGTTAAAAACATTTTGAATAGTATTTATTATATGAAAATTAACTCACATCCCAAACAGTTATGCGCTGTAACAAAAGTATCACTGTATGAATTTATCGTCATATTTTTGTTCTCTTCTATTGTTGAGAGAGTAAATTCCAAAAACATTGCCATTATCTATTTTTACATAAAAATAAAATACCGCCTTATTAGATAGACAATCTGCATCTCAGTAAAACACGGCAATGAAAAAGAAATATAAACGTAAAAATATTATTTATACTCAAAGCCTAAACTATGTACAGAAGTAATGTCTTTTTTCAGAAATTATATACATATAATTAGATTCACATTATCCTTTTTCGTGTATTAAGCTTGGAGATGCATAATACTAGAAAAATTTAAGTTACCTATTTCAATAATTTCTGTCTTATAATTTGAAATCAACTAAAAACCCTTATAAATTTTATTTGTAAAAGAAAAGTATTCGTTGTCTTCTTAGATATATGAAGAACTTCTATTAAAAACACGATTTAACTACTTAGGTTAATTTCTCTAATATTTGTACCCTTTTAATAATTAAGGAACGCAGCAAGGTTCAGACTGTAAATACAGTTTCTTTAGTACTTGCCTCTTCGTAATTCATAAAACTCATTACATTCTAATAGTTTTAGGAAAGATAAAGCTATCTTGTTTTCTTTGCACAAATTTCAAAATAAAAGAAGAAATATTTTAAATCACAAAAATTAAGGACATTAATTCTGAAATATTGAATTTTATTATTATTTAGAATACTATTGTTATAAGAGGTTGAAGACATAAGAGAATTCTATATTTGTAATTTACCCCATGTATAAAGAAGAAGTATTCAATATACGTATTATGAGACTACATATAAACACATTTAAAAATGTCAAAAAAAATTAAGACCTAAATACAGATAAAGAGCTTTTAAGTGTAATATAAAATTTGTTGCAATTAATAAAGCCCACATTCTATGATAATATTTGACGAAATGAAAGTTTAAAACAGCAGCCAATAAAGGTAAATAGCGTTTATTAAAGTAAAATACCCCAAATTCAAATTAAACCCAGTACGTCATGCTAATTTAAGGAGTACCTGTAAATTACAATGTATATTATATGGTTTTAAAACATAAATCTACCTTAGATTCTGCGTTATGGGTACATGTAAAAGTTTAAAAGACTACGATAATAAATTTAGTAAAGCAAGTTATAATATTATGTTTACGTTTTTATTATATTCGTAATCATAACACGTTTCGTTTACCTCTACTATTTTTTTATAATCATTCCTTGAAAAGAAAGAAATTCATGAATTAGCTACAGTTGGCTTCTTTTACCTATCATAATGTATAATGATAACCGAGAACTTTTGATTTCTATACAAAATAATCGCAATTGCTTTGTAAGTCGACTCAACAATCGAACATACTTTCCCAAGAGAAAATAAAATAATGACTATCCTAATAAATAAGCATAAAATATTTATTTTCTACCATTATTATGTTTCCCGTTCAAATCACACAGTTACAAACTAGACGAAGATATAAAGCTATTTAAGTTATACTTACGTCTCAATGAGGCAATTATTCCGGCAAACAACAAGAGAAAAATAAAAGTGATTTATTTTTATGGTGGTACTTTCAAAGACCATTTTGTAATATTATTGGTGGTTTCTAATTTGAACTGTAACCACTGTACATTTGTAGATAGCTAGCATAAGCACTTGTCGTTTTTTTTTCCTGTAATCTTGTTATTAAATAAAAGTTTTAAATTGGCTTTGCATTGCAAGGGGAAATACTTTATTTAAATGCTTTGAGACATTGATTTCTCTAAATTTCTCAGAAGCAGTATATAATGAGCACGTCATTGAAATAACTCACAACACAACAAGAAAATTTTAAATATGGGGAAAAATGTAGCCAAAAAGCATGACCACTTAAATAAGAAATAAGAGTTAAGTAAATTAAATGTGTTAATGCTTAGGAACAACTGCGTTATTGTATACTTGAAATTATATTCTTTAAAGAGTTTTTTTTAATTCAACTAAATACTTTGACAAATTTTTGCAAATCAGAAATTTTGTATAAAAAAATTATAAGAAGAAAAAAATTATAGACGAAAATTATAAGAAAGAGATATTTCAAGGCTATTCAGATGTACATCACAGAACGTATTTTTCATATAAATGATTGACCTAGAAAAACAATTGAGTGAGGATAATAACACTTTAAGATACAGACCAAATAGTTTCAATAATTTCATATATTCTGTTTCTCTGATAATGTTTTCTTTTATTATTTTTAAGTTTTTTTTTTTCATTTGAAGCATAATTGCTGTGCTTAATGAGATAACTTATTGAACACTACGGAATCAGTAACAAAATCCTATGCAAGATTTCATTCATTTCTGTATAACATGTCTTTTAAATTTATTAGTCAATAAAAGATTATTTTTCCATAATGTATAAAATAATCAGAATCTGTAATAAGCTTTTAGGGATTTTTTACATTGACGAAAAGCGTATACAAGAGTCAAACTGAAAGTTCTTAGAACTGGCCACTTATAAACATTATAATAAAAAAAAATTCTAAAATTTGAAAATAGAACTCTGCCAATATTACTGAGTATATATTTCATATATTTGTCATTTGTTTTACGATTTGGCGGCAAATTGAAAATTGTCTGTGTCACGTCAACATGAATTTAACACGAGAAAATTTTCGTGCAATGATTTTTTATGACTTTAGATGTCATTTAAGTCAACAAGAAAGTTATGATAGACTACGATTGGCCTTTCACGATGGGGCTCCATCTCGTGCGACTGTTTACAACTGGTTCAAAAAATAATAATCTTTGATAACGATAAATTAGAGGTATTTAACAAAAATTTACGAATCTTCCTAATTACAATTATATTTCATTGATTTGAAAAAGGCCATTTTGGTGATATATTCCATATAATTGAATGAGCAAATACATAAATAAGACGTAGTATTTACCAAATCATGCAAAATTCCTAACATATAAGGCGAATTCTAGTTTATATACATAAGAGATAATAACATATATACCAAGCTCCTATTCTTGTTTTTTTTCATATTTATTCCGTTCCTTCATATTTATTCGCCCCTGGTCGCTTGTTTATCTCCCCTGTGTCCTTCATCACTCTTATCTAGTTCTTGAAGTTGTTCCTACAAAAAATATACATTATAGATACAAGATTTATTTCATGTATTAGTTTCAATAGTGCTCTAATTACGTGTAATTTTTTACAATGATATGACGGATTGTAAATTTTATCATAATCTGTTGATAAACAGTATAAAGTGACTCGAAAATTTTAATAATATGTAAAGTTTTATGTGTCAATTATAACTCTACTTGTAGTATTTTGTAATTTGTCAACTCAAAGTCACTAATGTAACTCACACAAGGTGCTGCGTCTTCATCATTTATAGGTTCCGTGTTCATTTGTACATTGTCATTTGTTCCTTTTTCCATTTCTGCGTTCTCAACTTTATCCTCAGCCGACGGATCTCTATTAGAAGGATCCGCGTTTGGATTCGGATCTTGGTTAGTCTCTTGTTTTTCTTCATCTTTCGTTATGTCATCCGGATTCTTTGGTAATTCTTTCTCTGAGCCACCCTGTGTATCCGGTTCCGTTTCCGAATTGTTTTCATCCACTTGTGTTTTATCATCTCCTGTTTCTTTCAGTATTTCTTCGTTTTCATGTTTCTCTTTGTCTTGCTCCGTTTCAGTACCTTCCTCTTTGTTCTGTAATAATAAACACAAACATAACTATATTACAATTCTTTTATCTTCGTAACTATATTTATTATATATTATACCATAAGTCTACCTGTTCATCATCGTTTCCTTCACCTCCCTCATCACTGGACACTTCTAACCCATTTTTATTTCCTTTATCTTTATCTTCACCATCATTTTCTTTCTGCTCTTCTTGTAAAGCTTCTTTCATCGCGTCGATTTCAAACGGATTTTCAGTTTCGGTTTCTCCATTCTGAATGTGATATTTAGTTTATTATTATTTTATAAAATAATTATTATGAAGAGTTTCGTAAATAATATATGTTTACCTTATCGTCTTTTTCTTCGCCGTCCAAGTTTAAATCATCGGGCATTTCAAAGTCTTCGGGCTCAGGTAGTTCTTGTTGTTTTCCATGATAGGGATCAACCTTGAAAATAAATTATTTACTATATAGTTAACATCAAAACTTAAATAATAACGAAAGATTCGAATAAACTAACCTGATCATCGTCAACTTCGGGTTCCATTTCATTAATATCTTATTTTCCTTTCCTTTCCTTCACTGCTCATCTTTTCCTTGTTCTTATTCTTTAGAGCCCATTTCTTTCTCACCTTTGCCTCGTTCTTATTATGTTCTTCGTCTATATCTTCTTCGTCTTCGGATCCCCATATTTGTTGATCGAGCCTTTTCATTAAAGAACAAAAAATAGGGAATATTAAAATAACTTTACACAAAATTAGTTAATATTATTCAGAGTGGTTAACTAGAGCTGTAACGTTCATACAAATGCAATTTAACTATACCGTCTTTTTAAAACAGTTTATAGAATCTTACTTATACAATAATGAAAATAAAGGCATCCTTTTATTTTCCTAATATCTTTCTTAACATATGTATATATTGGACGTTCTAACTCTTGCTAACCGACTTTATGACAATTTAACAATATTAGTCAATTTCAAATAAATTGGTTCTGCTTTCAATTATACATGTGACTAAAAACATATTAAAAAATATTCGATATTTAAGATCAAATTTTACAATAATTATTGTAATGTGTGGTAAAAATAGTGATGATATTCACTTACTTTTCGGCAGCATTATCTGTATCTCCCATTTGTTTATCGGCATCGTCATCATCATTTTCTTCATCTGATTGTTCTGGAATTAAAAGGACATTTATTAAATTTACAACCCTATTTTATATGCTTAAAACTTAATTTTATATGACTATATTATCAACCTTTCTGTTTAACGTCTTGTAAATGAGAATCAAAGTCGTCAGTCATATTGACTCCTTCTCTTCTTCCTTGCAATCTTTATCTTGTTCGTTCTTTTCTTCACCCGGTTTATGCGCGTCGTCCAATTGACCCTTTGAAAACAAAAACAATAATTTTTCTGTGTGCAATAAATTTTGTCTACAACGCTAAAGTCAATGATCTTTCAATAATTCTATCTATCCCTTTCCCACACCTGGTTTTCTTTGCGTTCAGAGACATCTTTCTGTCCCTCTCCCTCACCAAGTCCCATACCGCTGTCTCCAGTAGTGCCTTCTCCCTCACCCTCCTATGAATCTAGTTCTGAATGTTGGCAGAAACTGTAAGGAAATAAAGGAAGTTTCAATTTATTACGTAACTAAAACATTCTTAAACAATAACTTATTCAAGGATAATCGTAAGTACAATATGAATTAAAAAGCTTCAGTGGAACAACTTATTGACATTATCTAATTTGTGGCAATTTATGAAAGTTTTTATAATATTTTATAAATTTTCTGTACTTTAGATATTTATAAAGTTTTATATTTAAATGCAACCCCAACTTATTCATTTTAACATTGTGGTATATTTTATCTAAATTGTATCGATATAATTTCCTTTCCATGCCAGATCCAAGAAAATCTTCAAAAGCACTAACAGTATTTTACAGGATACTCTATGCACAGCAACTTTTTGGGATACAAAATATTGGACAAATAGTATAACTTGCTCCAATATCGGGACCAATCTCATAACAACCGTTCCAGCTTCTTCCATATCAGACCGAGTCGCAATACATTGCACATAGTTAATCAAAAGTTCGCGCGATTTTGTAACTAGAGTTTCCAATTGCAACATTCTTGAATCAGGCGAAATGTTCTCTTGGAGTAATTCTTTTAAATGATTATCTTCTAAAATTTCTTTGGTTTCAACTTTTTCACCTTCATGTATAATTTCATCAATAGCGTTTATAACGTTCATATTCTCCGCTTGTTTCTCTGGCGGCAGATGTTTTTTGTACAACGATTGTATCACAAGTAACATCGTAGCCACAACATCTTCACTCTGCTCTAACACTGTGCCGTCAGTTTCATCCATTTCTGGGTCTCGGTTCATCCAATTTTTCAAGCTCTGTTTTATATCTTTAATGTAAGCCACTATATTTTCAAGGCTTCTTAGTATTGGATGATGCGGTGTGAAGTCTTCTATGACCGCCGTTTTGAAAACAACTGATATGCGATAATAATTTGCTCACTTTTTTCTATTATAACGTCCAAATTATTCTTAGCTTCGTTTGTAACTTCTATATGACTTTGAGAAACTAGAGGTAACTCAAAGGATTCTTCGATTTGTTTTGGGTTTCGAGATAATTTGTTTAACAGTGCCTTTTGTTTATCAACTAGAGATATAATTGACTTAATTTTTTTATTAAGAGACTTCCATTCATCGCTATCCTTGAAACAATCAGCCAAAGGTGAGTTTGATAGCACTCTGTCGACATCTGGCTCAGAATCAGTATTCAAATGTTTTTCCGGAACAGACTTCAGAACGACGTTGAATCGTTCTAGAAGAATGCTCGTATGAGCGTAGCATTCCGCTAACACATTGAGTATTTCTTCAAGCGAAGTTATATTACATCCTGTAGAGTCTATTTCTAACGTGTTTGTAAGACTTGTAGCTACGGTTCGTAAATCGAAAATATGTTTCGTATAATGCGAAATCGACTTCTTCTGAGTGTTAGTATATTTCTGGAAATAAAATGTATATACTTGAAATTTTAGCACAAATTATTATTTAACACTATTTATAATGTCATGGAATATCAATATAATGTTGATTTAATTTCTATTATATTATATAAATGTTACACTTTTAACAATACACTTATAGCAAAAAGAAATATAAATATACTTTACAAATAACAAAATATTGGTGATCACACAGAACATGGACAAGTCGAATGCTTTTGTTATATAGTTGGAAATACCTGCTTTTCAAAAAGCTCATAGCGGCCTCCAAATCGACGGGTAGTATTGTGAAATTATACATGTCTTCAGAAGCCGATAGTATAACGAGACCCGTGCGATAATTCAAGCCGATATTGTTCAAATATTTGAACAGATCCGATAGAGCTTTACGCTTCTGCTGCGTTATGTTTTTAGCTTGACATTTTTGTTTGTCCTTCGGCAATGTTGAATCCACCTACAATAAAGAGTATTATTATTAAAATGTTTTGTATTTGTTACAATCTTAGCAGTAAACAATTATCGACAGCCGTTTGCAATGACTACAGTATGTTCACTTTATTATTTATGAAGACATTTTTTTCGGATATAAGTCTAATTTTTAGAAATGATTTAAATGAAATAGAAATGACAATTCACATTTATATAAGAACCAATATAGAAATAGAAACAATTTTACGTGTATAAAATAAATATTCATTATGTTCACTTGTCTCTATAACCAAGGTTACAAAGTCGTCCAAGGCTTGTAGTAGCGCGGGGTAGCCCGTGTTAGCGATGCTATCCTTACATAATGTTCGAGCTTTGTTCAACAGACTCGGAATCTTTGCCTGGAGACTGTTCTCTTGTATTAATTGACAAGGCTGTTCGAGCTGGTATTCGTATTTCTGTAAAAGTGAATTCAATTATTAAAACATTATTGCGCAATGCGTATGTTGCATATTTATAACTGTAACTAATGTTTTTTTTAACAGACAGAAAAACTGCAATTGTAGCTAGCTACCTTTACAGCTAAATCAAACAGAAGACGGGCGAAATCATTCATAACCACCAAATCTTTTATCATGATTATATTTTAAGTGTAATAAAAATGACTTGTTTATATACCTTAATGTTTCTGTTCAGTACTACATGGTTCTGAAGATCTATCATATACGCTCCGCCCGCGGCGTTGCTTGCAGTGCCAGCCCTCTTTGGTCTATCCCAAATACCCACGTGGTCGATAGACTCACTCGCCGTGTCCACGAGACAACTCGATACCAATCTCCTTTAGAACTTTCTGTAGACAATTTTTCAAGTAAGATGTTTACTCAGACTTCACAAACACATCAATTACCTAAGATAATATAAGATGATGAAGTATACAATAATGGTTTATATTACAAACATTGACTTAGAAATTACCGAAGGAATTTATAATTAAAAAACATGGAGTCCCTCCGTACGGAAGAAATGAAAATTCGTGTTGTTTCAATGAAAATAGGAAGTTATAAATATCAATTTATAGTGAACTCATATTGTTTCTTTAAGACAAACTTAATAAATATTGCTTAAAATTCACAATTGATCCATGCATTTACTATCGCTCTGTCTCTTTCTATTCCCCCTCCCCAGGAGCGTTGCACGTTTAAGGCAACCTTGTTGGAAGTTGCATTAAACGCTTCACTACAATAAATATATCAATATGGCTGACCTCAAACTCCTTGGTGTGTTTGTATAAAGCTTTATGAGCCTTGTCTGCTGCGTCCTTCACGCTCCAGTAACTGAGGTCTCTGTCCCAGGTGCAGATTTTGACCAAGTCCTTCAACTTCTTTTCTATGGGCGCACGCTTTTCTTTAATATGTGAAGCCACTTATGGAGCGAATTGACGATAATAATTGTATGTATTCCATAACAATGATAGGAGTTCAACTAAAAAAAATAGGTACTTAATTTTTGACCAAATTTCCGTATAAATAAATAAAGTGTGGACACGTTCCAAGTGTTCCAAGTGTGGACGCGTGCGGCGGCGTGCTGATACAAGACCACGCCGCCGCACGCGTGTGTTTGTGTGTTTGTGTGTGTGTGTGTATACCTTATCTGTAGGGTGTTCACACGATGCGTAATTAATTACATAACTTTTGGTTAACTTTACTCAGAACTTTATTGATATTTATGTTATATTAATTTTTATTTTGTCATATATGATCGTCAAATATCACGTCTTCAAGTATCGATAGTAATTCACCAGTCACCCTGTATAGATAGAAGTAAATTATTGGATATTTCAGAAGACCCACAGTAGTTGCAGTATAAGATATAGATTAATAAACTGAACCTAACTAAACTTTTAGGAAATAATTAAAGGCTTTGTTAGGGAAAAAGTTTTGATTTTTGACATTAAAGAAATTATGGTGATAAATGTATGTATATCGTCCAAAAAATTTAAAAAGAGAATAAATTATCTATCTATGAAAAAGATATCAAGTGTAGATATTATTTTTGAAGTCTAATAAGTAAATAACTTACTATAAACTATTCACTATAACTATTATTTCTAAAGTTCCTTGTAACATATATTATTTAACCAATGAATCTCACCGCGTCTTTGACCGGCGTCCAGATGTATTAAATGGCAGTGTTACTCATAAACAATGTCCAATCTCACATCGAACTCCCCTAGATTGGACTTTTCCATGAAATCTTTCA